AGAGACAGGCAGAGAGAGAGGAAGGGAAGCAGGCTCCCTGCTGAGCAGAGAACCTGATGCAGGGCTCCATCCCAGGACCCTGAGATCATGACCTGAGCCAGAGGCAGAGCCACCCAAGTGCCCCCAGAATATCACATTTTCAAAAGATTCTTCTTGTCTTATTGCAAACATAGTACATTTTCTTTTACCATAGAAGAGTTAGAATATTAAGAAAAAAAAAAAGTTAGAATATAAACAATTAAGAGATAGGGAATAAAAGACTTAGTAATCAATATCTTGATAACCAGTTTCATGAATCCTCCAAAAACACTGACCACAGCCCCCTAAATCATACCAAGAGTTGGAGTAAGAGCTATTAATAATTACCTTAACTTTTTACAAAAAAATCATACTAACTGAAGTTGGAAGAAGTATAAAGACTTAGGTCTAACTCAGTATTAACCTGCTACCCTTCTACTAGCTTCCACCTCTGCTCATTAACGTCATACCCCCAGACCCAATGCCTGGAATTTTAAGCTTTTTGAGTTAATTTCTTAGGGAAGAGCAGTACTTCTTTTACTTTTCACTCAAATATTTTTATCAGAGGCAAGGGAAACCCTAGGGGTATAGAGGCATAACCTGAAGAGGGCATGGCTTAACACCTCCATTTGCTTTAAAATTCTGGCAGTTTTGCATCATACTTCAGACTATTGTTACTATAACAGTGATGTGTATTTGGGGGGAATGTCTGCAGTGTTTATCCTAGATTTTGTATGCCCCTTGTTACAAGGCCAAGTACCACAGATTGAGAAGCAGAGAGTTCAAGTTTTTTCTTCGGTTTATTCATTCAGAAAATACTCAGTGAAGGGGCACCTGGCTGGCTCAGTTGGTAGAGCATGTGACTTTTAATCTCAGGGTGGTGAGTTCAAGCCCCACGTTGGGTATAGATTATAAATAAATAAACTTAAAAATATATGTATTCAGTGAAGACCTGCCTTATGTGTGACCCTGTGCTGGTAATGTATCACAGGCCCTGATTTACAATGAAGTATGAAAACCTACAGCAGTACTAATGCAAAGGAAGAAGAATATCGTGATTAACTCTTTCTTGAGATCAGATAAAGAATCCTGAAATAAATGTATCTGAGCTGAATTTTGAAGACTAAAAGTCTGAAAGTACAGCTGAACTTTGAACAACGCAGGCACCAACTCCCATGCAGTTGAAAATCCAAGTGTGACTTATTTTTTTCAGGTACAACTTTGGACTCCCCAAACCCTTTTAACTAATCGCCTGCTGTTGATTGGAAGCTTTATCATTTACATGAACAGCCAGTTAACACATATTTTGTATGTTACGTGCATTGTACACTATATTCTTAACAAAAGAAGATGTTATTAAGAAAATTGTAAGGAAGAGGGTACCAGGGCAGCACAGTCGGTTAAGCCTTCAACTCTTGGTTTTGGCTCACGTGGTGATCTCAGGGTGATGAGATTGGGCCCTTTGTAGGCCTCTCCTCAGGACAGGGTCTACCCAAGACTCTCCCTTTGCCTCTCCTCCCAACCATGTGCGAATTCTTTCTAAAATAAAAGAATCCTTTTTAAAAAAAATTATGAGAAAATACATTTATAGTACAATACTGTATTTATTGAAAAAATTTGCATATAAGTGGAACTATGCTATTCAAACCCATTTTGTTCAAGGGTCACCTGTAATGTCAAAGTACAATTTTTTTTTTAAGTTAGAAACATGGGTCTTATACAAACATAGTAAGCATATGTCAAAAATGTGTTTAACTCTATGGGATGAATAAGTCGTAAGAACAAAAGGCACACCTAAGGAATATGGTTAGTGATGTTGTAATAGCGATGTAAAAGGACAGATGGTAGCTACACTTGTGAACACGGCATAATGTATGAACTTGTCAAATCACTAAGTTGTACACCTGAAACTAATTTAACATTGTGTGTCAACTATACTCAGAATTTTTAAGAATATGTTTAGCCCATTACTGAAGGAACTAGTAAGGTGGTAAAGCCAATCCAGAGTAATAGGGGAGAGGAGTACCTTGGCTGCCTTGGTCAGTGGAGTATGCAACTCTTGATCTCAGGGTCGTGAGTTTAAAAGTAATATGGGAGAGCCCAAAAATCACTGAAAGAAAAACTGATGAAATGAAATACGATTGCAAAGTTAGCTCGAAACTGGTTACTGGGATGTGCACTCCCGGCAAAAACTGAGGGACAGGGCCCAGATTTACCCTTTCACCTAAAACAGTGGGCAGAAATACATGGGGAGAAAAAGCCTTTAAGACTTTGAGCATCCGACTGAAGGACACTGATCTCTGAGAGACAAGATACAAATGAGGTAAGCCCGTTGCCTGAGCTTACTCCCTGGAGAAAATTTGCAGGCATGGCACTGGGAGAAGAAACCCAGGTAGAGCGTAGTAACCCCCCTGAGTTGAATATATGGAGCTAGGAGTTCGGGAAGCCCAAGTCAGCTAAGACAGAGCACTAGAAATTAGAGAGCTTCACAGAAAACAAGAGCTGTGGAAATACACAGAAGATCCTCCTACAGCCTGCAGCCGAATACTGATCAACACATAGGTGTGAGGAAACTACCCAAAAAAATTAGAGGAATTTTCAGAGCTCAAACAGTTATGTTCCTGTTCCTGTCACCAAAAATAGAAAACCCTGATAATCCTTAGGACATCAAAATAATCAGAATGGTCTTTGACTCCATAGTGGGTCAAAATTAACCAGAAACTAAATGTAGCTTTGATACTACCTTAAAAAGTCTAAAAGCAAGACCCAAAAAGATCAAGCGGTTTCCAGATAGCTATATCCCAGAAGAATGCTTAGTGATACTTAGAGGAATATTAAAATAGCCAGGACTGTACATGGTAAAAACAAAAAAAAAAAAAACAAAAAAACACATTGTCTGGCATCCGACCAAAAATCACCAGGCATACAAAGGAGCAGTATACCTTCACAGTAACAAAAATCTGTAAATTGAAAATCACCCAGAAGTAACCATGAAATTAGTAGACAAGGACATTAAAACGTCATTTCCCGTGTTGAAAGATCTTGAGAAAAGACTGAGCAAATTAAGTAGAGATGTGGAAAATAATGTTTTTTAAAAAGAAGAGATGAGGGGCCTGGATGGCGCAGTGGGTTAAAGCCTCTGCCTTCTGCTCAGGTCATGATCCCAGGGTCCTGGGATCGAGTCCCACATCGGGCTTTATGCTTAGCAGGAAGCCTGCTTCCTCCTCTCTTGTCTGTCTGCTTGTGATCTCTGTCTGTAAAATAAATAAATAAAATCTTTAAAAAATATATTTAAAAAATAAATAAATAAAAAGGAGATGACACTGTAGAAGATAAGATTAGTAATTTTTGAAGACATAGCACTAGAAGCTATTCAAAGTGAAACACAAAGAGAAGAGAGACTAAAAACATGAAATGAAAAGTAGGACGGGGTGCCTTGGTGGCTCAATCATTACGCATCTGCCTTGGGCTCAGATCATGATCCCAGGGTCCTGGGATCAAGCCCTGCATTGGGCTCCCTGCTCCATGGGAAGCCTGCTTCTCCCTCTCCTACTCCCCCTGCTTGTGTTCCCTCTCTCACTGTGTCTCTCTGTCAAATAATATAATCTTTAAAAAAAAAAAAAAAGTAGGACAACTTCATTTAGACTAATATTCATGAAATTTGAGTCCCCAAAGAGAGGAGGGACACATCAATATTTGAAGAAACAATGGCAAAAAGTTTTCCAAATTTGTTAAAAACAATAAAAACCCAAAGATGTAAGAGACTCCATGAACCCCAAGCAAAAGAAATCAGGAAAACTACATCCAGAGGAACAAAGATAACAATGACATCAGATTTCTCATGGGAAATAAAGTAAGCAAAATAATATCAGAGAGACAACTTCAAAATCTTGAAAGGGGGAGGGGGGAACTGTCAACCCAGGACTCTATACCCAGCAAAAATATCTTTCAGAACTGAAGGTGAAAGGAAGACTTCTTTAGATATTCACAGGCTGAAAGAATTCATTAACAGCAGGCCTGTACTGTAGGAAATGTTAAAGGAAATACATCAGGCAGAGGAATATGATACCAATCATAGATGCAAATGTAAATAAACACAAAGGAACGCAGGCACCAGAAATAATAATTATGTGGTTAAATATAAAATACTTTTTTAAATATTTCTTTTTTAAAGGTTTTATTTTTCAGAGAGAGCAAACACAAGTAGGGGGCGCAGCAAGCAGAGAGAGAGGCAGGCTCCCTGCTGAGGAAGGAACCCAAAGCGGTACTCAGTCTCAGGACCCTGGGATCATAACCTGAATAGAAGGCAGTCACTTAACCAACTGAGCCAGCAGGCGTCCCCAAATACTTCTTTCTTATTACCTAAATTACTGAAAAATTGTTTAAAACAAAAGTTGTTATGAAGTTTCTAACATGTAGAATTAAAATATGACAAAAATAGCAAAAAGGCTATGTAGTACACTCTTGTAAGGTTCTTATGCTGTACATAAGGGGTATAATACCATTAAGGTTGAAGGTAGACTGTGATAAATTAAAGACGTATAGTATGAACTAAAGTAACCAATAAAAACATGCAACAAAAAGTTCATAAGCCACCAAAGGGCGTAAAATAGAACTCTAAGAAGTGGTCAGTCCAAAAGTAGGCAGAAAAATAAGGAAAAGGGAAGAGAATACAGATGGCACAAGTAGAAAACAGCAAAATAGATAGTAACCACATCAATAATTATGGTTGTCATACTAAATACAAGTGGTCTAAACACTATGATTAAAAGGTAGGATTGCCAGATTGGATAAAAAAGCAGGACCAAACTATATGCTGCCTAAAGGAAACCTACTTTAGATATGAAGATTGTTGCTGTTACCATTTACAAAGAGGTTGAAAGAGGCTATTCTATCCAAAGCAAATTCTCCTGTCTGGGTTAGCAGCACACTTCAGACCGGGCCATCTGTATCATTCCTCTCCTAACATTGTCCTTGCATTCAACTAGTTAGGCTACTAGTCTCCTTAGAATTCCTTGCGCAGGGGCCATGCTAATCTTCTCTGTATCGTCCCAATTTTAGTATATGGGCTCAGTTGGTTAAGCAGCTGCCTTCGGCTCAGGTCATGATCCTGGCGTCCTGGGATCGAGTCCCGCGTCGGGCTCCTTGCTCTGCGGGGAGCCTGCTTCTCCCTCTGCCTCTGCCTGCCATTCTGTCTGCCTGTGCTCACTCTCTCTCTCTCTCTCTCTCTCTCATAAATAAATAAAATCTTTAAAAAAAAAAAAAAAACTAGAAAGAATTCCTGCCACACCCCATGCAGACTCTTCCTTAAAATGCTTTGTTGCCTATGGAAAATTCTTCACAACTCTCGAGTCCTTTCTGCTTTATCCATAACTTCACCTGTGCTCATTCAAAACCAGTTTTGACTGACCTGTTCCATGAGTCAAAGTGAAGCCCCATCATAATTGACAATTATGTCATAGATCACAGAACGTCAGAGCTCTAGCGAACAGTAAAGAATTTACTGTCTATTCCCCTTATTTTATAGGTGAGAAAACCATGAGTCCAGTGAGGTTACATGGCCAGCCCAGGTTCATACAAGTTCAGTGGTAAGTTTGTAGTAGGACCAAGACATACCATTTTCTCTAATTACCTGCCACTCACAATTAAGTACATTTCTTAGGTTATAATTAGGATGCATGTGCATAATGTTAATATTTACATACGTATTTCTTGTGCTTGTCTTATTTCCCAAATTAAGCTATAATACCAGTAGACATCTTTTTTTTTTTTTAAGATTTCTTTATTTTAGAGAGAGTGCAAGGGAGAGGGAGAGAGCAGCTCAAGCATACTCGCCATTGAGTGCAGAAACCAATGCACGGCTCAATCCCAGGACCCTGAGATCGTGACCTGAGCTGAAATCAAGAGCCACACATTCAACGAACTGAGTCACCCAGGTGCCCCACCGGTAGACATCTTTATTTAGTATTCTAATGCTTAGAGAAATGCTGGATATATAGGTGCACAGTGGGATATATTTGATAATTACGATATATGATAATAAACTTAGAGTCTAAATTGACAAGATCACAAAACATAAGAAGTAATTCATTACTTTCTACCATTTAAAACAAGATGGTTAATTCCCCTCCATAGAGTATCTAAGATTCAAAATATTTTTTCTAGGGGCGCCTGGATAGCTCAGTTAGTTGTGCTTCTGCCTTTGGCGTAGGTCATGATCATGGGTCCTGGAATCGAGAGCCACATCAGGCTCCCTGCTCAACGGGGAGCCTGCTTCTCCTTCTGCCCCTCCCCACCTCTGTCCTCTCCTCTCCTTCTCCCTGTCTCAAGTAAATGAAATCTTTCAAAAGAAATTTTTCTTCTAACATGTATTTCCAAATCTTGCTACTCCTATATAAAATAAGTTTAATTTAGTATCTTTATATCTACTGGATTTTTTTCAATTGTAATAAAAACTCAGTTCCTTATCATAGTATCCACAAACATGTATACCCATGCTGTCTGATACAGGAGCCATTACCTATTTAAACTTAGATGAATGAAAAATTAAATGAAATTTGGATTTCAGTTCCTCAGTCACTATAACCAGGAGCTGGTAGCTACTGTCTTGCATAGCACTGATAAAGAATGTTTCCGTCGGGGCACCTGGGTGGCTCTATGGGTTAAAGCCTCTGCCTTCGGCTCAGGTCATGATCCCAGGGTCCTGGGATCGAACCCCGTGTCGGGCTCTCTGCTCCGCCGGCAGCCTGCTTCCTCCCCTCTCTCTGCCTGCCTCTCTGCCTACTTGTGATCTCTCTCTCTGTGTCAAATAATTCTTAAAAAAAAAAGAATGTTTCCATCATTGCACAAAGTTCTGTTGGTCTAGAATTTGTTACATAATGATAAATTGTTTTTCCTGCAGAAAGGGAAACCAAGGATTTTTACCAGATTCATACTGATGAGAGAGCCATCTGGTAACCAGATTCTAATGTGTCAAGAGTAATTCTAGTAGTGTCCCTTCACCGAGATGGGCGCCCATTTCCTCAGCCTCTCTGGTCCAGGCCTCCACAGTCAGGTATACAAGATAATGCATTGAGAAATAAAAGAAAATAAGTTTATAGTTCATATTTTATCTTCTGTTTAAATTCATATTTATGTGTTTTTAATATTTTAATTGTAGACTATGTATGTGAATAAATATATCATGAGGTACCTGCTCACAGTATCTAGTTACTGGGATGCATTATCAGAAATGTAGAAACGATTTCTTTAGTGTCCCATTGATAAAGCCACTCCGTTGCTCTGTGGTCTACTGCCGTGGCTCCAGCGCTGTCCCCACCGGCTGCCTTCGTGTTTGGTGGTGCCTTCATGGCTCTGTGTTCAGTCTCCTCAAGAGAGGATCTCAGTGGACAGGCCAGTCACTTTAGGACCTTGGACAGGTGTATCCTGGATTGTCCAGGTCGGCCCAATGCAAGCACAAGGGTCCTTGTAAAAGGGGGTGTCTGTGTCAAGAGTCAGGGGAAAAAAAAAAAAAAGGTGTTCCACAGAACCAGAGAGTGTAGTGATGTGCTTCGAAGGTGGGGACGTAAGGGACCATGAGCCAAGGATTAAATTACAGTTACAGTCGGCTTCTAGAAGCTAGCAAAGGCAAAGAAACAGATTCTCCTCTGAAGGCTCCAGAAGTAATGCAGCCTGCTCCTGCCTGGATTCTCGATTTTTTTTTTTTTTTTAACCTCCAGAATGATAAGGAAATGAATTTGTGTTGTTTTAAGCCACAGGGCTTGTGGTCATTTGTTACAGCAGCAGCAGGAAACTACGAGACACGTACTAACTGATACTCACATTCTGCAGCACTTTGGTTAAGCACGTTCAGCAGGACAGGCACAAAAATGTCAGAGCTCCATTTTTCAGATCGCTTTTATAAAGCTGTTGAAGAGCTAGATCAGTCACTACTTCTCATTTGGGGTAGAGGCTTCTGAATCCATTAGGATGCTTTCAGTTGCCAGTAAAAGAATGGGGATTTGTTGGATTCAGTAACTGAAAAATGTAAAAGTTAGGCAGCCATCGGGAGTCTGGCTCCGGTTCCCTGTGAATCTCTTGGCTCTGTTCTTTCCCACCATCAGCATCATCCTTGAACTAGTTTCCCCGTCTCAGGATGGCTTCCAGGAACAACTGGGGCTGTGTGCTCAAACTTCTGTGGCCTGGGGTGACTAGGAAGAATTCATGTGTTGAGGACGACAGTCTTTAGCCAGGACCGGGGTCAATCTCACTCATGTTATTTCGTTACTTTATTTAGTAAGTAAAGCAACGGAGTGGCTTTATCAATGGGACACTAAAGAAATCGTTTCCACATTTCTGATAATGCATCCCAGTAACTAAAGATACTGTGAGCAGGTACCTCATGATATATTTATTCACATACATAGTCTACAATTAAAATATTAAAAACACATAAATATGAATTTAAACAGAAGATAAAATATGAACTATAAACTTAAGTTTATGACTCCCCTAAGAAAATCTGGGTGCTATTAGGAAAGCAAAAGGGTATTGATAATAATCAAGAGCCTGTTGTAATGGATAAAAGATAAATTATAAGATCTTGAAGTAATAACCAGTGTAAAATATTATTAATTTGCGTAGTGCTCTAATACTGAAATACGTCCTTTTCCTGTGTATGTATCATTGCCAGAAGCTCTGAATGTCTTTTTTTAATGTATCATATAAAGACTTTGTTTGTTTTTTGTTTTTTGAGAAAGAGCAAGTGAGCAGGGCATGGGTGGCCACAGGGGACAGGGGGAGGAGAATCCCAAACAGCCTCCATGCCCCGCGCAGAGCCCAATACAGGGCTGGATCTCACGACCCTGAGGTCAGGACCTGAGCCAGAATCAAGAGACAGACGCTCAACTGATTGCACCACCCAGGTGCCCCAAGACATTTTAGAAAAAATCTGAAAGTTTGCAGTTAGGAAAGTTGTCTCTTTTTTGCCCATTGGTGCTAATTATTACATAGCAACAGCTTGATGACCTACTTTCCTGACCTGTGAGGGTTTCTTCCATTCTGATGTCGGATTCCTCGTCTTTCTCCATCATTAAGGTCCTAATTGCAGTGAATTACACTTTTGCCTTAAAAGCTTGTCAACAAGCTTTTTCATATAAACATCTTTTTTATGTAATGATTATTATTTCTGAAATCCATAATTGAGGTACTTGATCACTTAAGGAAAACAAAGATGTTCACTATTCATGCTGTTAAGAGACTTAAAATGGACAGTTCCATTTCAAAATCTTCAAAACTGACTCTGTGAAAAAATAAAAATGGGCTCTTTTCTTATACATAAAATCATGTATAATATTAAGGTACATAATGATTTTTAGGGTAAGGTAGAAATTTTTAGAAAAACAGGTGTTTTCACTTTCATATATATAAGTCAGTATTAGGTTCCAGTTATCTGACAGATTGCTCCAGCCATAATTGATAAATTTGTAATCAACTTGCCAGTAGTGAGTGACTCATTCTGTTAAGTACCATGGAAGACAAGGTAAAGGAGCCTTAAAACATATCCTTAGTTGGAATAGGATTGGAGGAATTTATTCCTAGTACATTTGCTATGCAGTTTTTTGAAATGGCTTGACATAGTTTATCATGAACTGCCTTGAGCAAATAGTTTGCCTTTAATGATGGCAAATGATGTGCAGCTACAGGAACTCTAACTCCTCAAGATTTTTGTGAATAATTCTAGAGCAGCGTCTACACAGTAGAATTCTCTAAACTCTAAAAATATGCAGCAAAATCTCCCAGAGATTTTGATTCACTTTCTCTGAGGTGGGGTCAGTGGCCAAGGTAAAAATCACTAATGTAGAGGATTTTTAATTTTACAAATAGAGCACAAGTCAGTAACTGTAGAAAAAGAGATGGAATTTTTAAGATAATAGAGAAATTATATAAATGCTCATACCAAGTTGAAGAGTCCTACTACATTCAGGACAACGGATGCTTAATCCAGTTCAAAGAAATGAAATCTTAACTTTGAAAGCCTGCAGCTAAAAAGAAACCATATTTTCTTCTGAAAAAGCCTCCATTCCAGTGCAATTTGACATTCATT